TTTGCCTTCTCCTCCCACCTCTGATCCACATGATCCATGTTGAACAAGCAGCTCTGCTCTGTGTACCATGCCTTTGATAAGGTTCAGAGGAAGTGTCCTGTACGCTGGACGCTTTAGCCCCAGCTGTGGCCCAGGTGTGGATGTGTGTGGCGCCTCCATCTTGTCCCAATCGCAGCCTCCTCAAAGTACTGGCAGCACTTCCAACAAAGCCTCTCATTCCATCACAATGGGGTAAACGCGTTCAGAGGAGCACTGCATACACAGCACAGCCAGGTGTACTAAACATTAGTCAGCCACACGGACAGGGAATAAACAGCACGTCTTAACAAAGCAAACCATCAGCATTTCCACTCACAGGTCCAACTGCAATGAGTGCACACGAATAAAACACTTATGACGTGACTGGAACTCTTCTACTGGACCAGCTTTTCAATATGAGGGCTTTCAACTCCCATCCTGACGTCCTTTTTAGACACCACACTCTAAAAACACATTAGTTCGGAAAGACAACCATTTTTATTTGTCAAACAGATATTAGTTAGATTGACTATTATATCTGTGAAATGAATCTGGTGGTTTTGGACCAATCGGTTTTATTCTTTGGTAATTGTCTTTTTCATCTAATGCAATACAATTGAACAATGTGTATTTTTTGGCACTATCTGCATGAGCAAACCTGATCCTGTCAGACCTCAGAAGTTAAGCAGGGCAATGCCTGGTTCATAGGATGATGGGAGACCTCAGGGTACACCAGATGCCACAGTGTGACAGTGTGGCTGTAAAGTTCCCAACAGTTGTTATGTCTTAAGGCAAGACACTTGTTGAAGAGAACACATTTTCTTTGGTTGGCTTGATGACCTATATACACACATTGGTGTTTTACCAAAAGATTCATCATGCACATAACTACCAACAAGATGAATCAACTTTGGTTGTTTGAACCTATTTGTTTTTAGGGTGAAGGAAGCGGAGAGGTGACAGTGTTTTTTAACTGTTTTTATGAAATCAATACTCAACCTTGGGTAAAACATGTTGGCTGTTACTCCTATACCACAATGAGTCCATCAGAGATATATCTTGTAAGCTTTAAATAAAAAAAAAAAAAAACCTCCCATGGGTAACACACATAACAACCTCCCCCAGAGCATCTGTGGCTACATTACTTACCACCACTTTGTGAGACTCAATAATTAACTTTAAAGTGTGATGAAAGGCTCTGTTAAATGTTATGCTTGAACATATTGTTGAAATCCTGTGTCTGATAAAGTCATTTGCTGGTATTCTAAAAATATAAAAACTGAGACATAACTTTGTCATGAGTAAAGTTCTCGGATGTGATATCTTCTTTTCATCCTTTCAGCCTAAACCATCTCTGAAGAAGCCTGACATACAATCCTTGCTCTTGAATAGGGGTTCTTGACAAAAAAACTAAAATGGAGGCACCACCATGTTAAATGTGGCATTTGATAAACACATCTCACTTATACGCTCTCCATGGCTGGTGCAAGTTCCAACAGCGTACACTGCACACCTTTTTCCCTCACGCTGGAGAGGAGAGGCCTAAAATAACAAACGTCCCAACCGGGAGACGGGAGGTGAGGGGAGAGGGCTGAGATGGAGTGAGTCATCTAAACACGTGTAAACACAGGCACTAGCTCAGGTTTGTGCAATATTAGTTCAACTTCAGGGTGTTAACAGGACTACAATGTAATTATAACGTATGTATTTGCAGACAGCGATTAGCAGGGTGTAGATATGAAACTCCGATACACACTGTTCTCATTAGTCCATAGCTCAATAGCATCATTTTGTAAAAGTGATTAGATTTTATCACGGAAATAATGAAGTGCACAGTTTATCCACCAGTGCACACATTTTTCACTTCCAAATGTCATTTCGCGGACGGTTTATTACAAAAAATATCTTTTCTGTTTCAATCCCAATTCCCGGACACTTCTTCCATCAGTTCCCTAAGTGTTTCCAGACCAGTTGACACACGTGACCACAACCCCTTCTCAAGAGGTGCTTTGGAGCAGTGGCTTTACTTCGAGCTCTGGTAAAATGTGATTACTTATCATTGCTATAATAAACTTAAACATTATTCCATTCATGTCATGTTTGAAATATTCTTTGAACTTATACTGTATAAACTATAGAGCCATATACTATTATGCATACACTGAATAGAAACCATAAACATATGTATCGATCTTTAGAAAATTGATAGAAATGTTACTCAAATAGCTGGATTATATCACTGGTTTTCACATATGTATTCTTGGCCTCTGTCACATCGGCTTTTTCAGCGAGAAGAGTGAAAAGAGAGGCCCACTCCCACTCAATCAATCAGCTATCAGCTTTAACTCACACATAGCGACTCACAATAAACATTCTTACAAATTTGCAGAAGATAAACTCTTTTCTAATAAGATGAAGACATTTGTTCGGAACATTTAACTCTTGTGAGACTCTTTGTGTGAGGACAAACAATGAATTATATATGAAAAAAACAATAGGTTCTCCAGCTTTATTTTAAAAGTAAGTAAGTAATGATTATTTATGTAGCGCAATTTACAGACCAAGGTACAGACCCAAAGCGCTTAACAATGTTCAGAGTTAAGATATTGTTCCAATCATTCCACACTCGGTGATGACGAAAGCGAATCGCCGAACACACTGGCGCATCAGCCCCAATCAACACCATCCATTCACTCTCTCATTTACATTCATAACTGTTGTGCATGTTTTTAGTGGTAGGGGAAACCGGAGCACCCAGAGAAAACCTATACAGACACGGGGAGAACATGCAAACTTCACTCAGAAAGTCCCTGTTCCGACCGGGATTCGAACCCAGGATCTTGCTGAGAAGCGAGAGTGCTATTCCGCCCCCAAAAAAGGATTGATAAATTCATTATGAACTTCATCTACAGGACTTAGTATACTGTACGTTGTGAAACTTACATCTTTAGAACTGTTATGGGACCTTAACAGAATTTGGCTTGCTAAACTTTATCATTTGGCTTGCTAAACCATTATCAGAAGCCAAACGGCCCTGCCCTAACTTTAGTATTTTGCATAGAGGAATAACATACCAAAAGCCTTTTTATGTCTGTTAGTGACTGTGGCTATGAAGGAAAAGCCACTAAACTGTCTTTGGCTAATATAGATAATGCCCCAAAGGCTGTTGGGGTTACGGTCTCCCACTCCTTTTATTGTTTTAAGAGATCACATTAGGACAAGTACGACCACAAGCCACGGCAACTAGTCATTTTTACGGCACCGCTGACAAACCCAACTTCTGCTACAACATTAATGTCCTGCTGCTTTCTGAAACGATTATCTACAAAACAAACAAGTCCACTAATAAGTCTCCTTAATAGTAAACACTACATGAGCAAGGAGCAAAGAACAAACAATATAAAACGGTATGTCTATCGCTACCGGAGCATATTTTTAATGACTATAGGAGCAATATCGAAGTGGTTTATATAGCTATTATGTGAAATGTACTGTATAAGCCATGGTTTTCATTAGCAAAGATAAAAAAGGTAAATATGTACAATAACTGATAGCCTGAGAGCAAAGTTTCCAGCTTAGTCATGTTCATTAATTTGAATCCCAAATTGAGGTAATAAAAGCATAAGCCGGTGATTACGAACAGAGAGCAAACAATAATAGTGAATTATGTCTTGAGCCGTAATGGAAGCAGCGTTGAAAGCAAACAAAATATGCACTTAGTGTTTGTCTCAGTGGGGGATCTCATTTATTATAGACTAGAGTCGTCCTTGGCGGTCTGCGGCTGTTGCCTGAAAAGTTAAACCGGGGTATGCTGGTGCCAAAAAAGATTTCTAGTTACACCTTCTGCAGGAACAAAAGAAGCATCTCCCTTTCATTATCCCATATTTTATAAACCTCGACAAATACTTCTTACAGGGCCTAATGTCATGGTTGATCGCCATGGAGATCATCTGATGTGAGGCCCCATATTTCAACTATGTCCAATTCTTTTTCTGTATTTACAAACAAATCCATAGGAAGATCATGAGTGAAATGTACTCATTCTTTGCCACAACTCAGGGATAAATAATAAGTTTCACAGTATGAACTTTGCTGTACAATTAAATTTCCCTTACGTAGTTTTTATGTGGATTTTGTATGTAATATACATGTTTAAATGTTATAAACTAAAATTCTGGCCTCCTACATGCATCCATCATAGGTAGCTTTTAGCCCGGAATGAAATAAAAGTAATCACCGAGATAAAGGTTGCGTTCATGTTCTAAAATTCCGTTACCGCTGGAGGGCAGGCGCCAGAACAACTCTAAGCAAAAAAGAAAATATCTAAATGTTTTTCCCAAATCTTTCTCTGATCGCATTTAGACTCACATACCTGCAATATTATTCCCATGTCTGAGAGTTCTACTGGCCAACATCATATATTTTTTTAAAATATCGTCACCACATTTATTGATTATTATATGTGCTGACATAGAAGATGTGGGATTTTTTAACAGGTTGGAATTATATGTGGATTGGCCCAGAGAAATTACCTCTTGACTAAGCAGGCAAGACTCTTTTATTGTTGCCATAGTTACCAGCAGGGAATATTTTTTGCTACTTTAAAATGGTAAAAAAAAAAGGAATATATGAAAGTAACGACACACATTTAATTTGTTTTATTGTAACTGTGCAAAACATTGCTTCATTCAATGCCAAAGGCCATAACAACTAAATCATACACGGCTGCATATCTGTATGCAGAAAAGGTAAGCAAAATACAATCTGTTATATACACTTTACAAATTACAATAAACTTTACATAAAACAATTCATTATTTCAACTCGATAATTGTATTGAGCCGTGTCACATACAGCTGTCCATTTTTGGAGCAAACCTTTGTCCGGTACATTCACTTGTTGCATTTCAGTCTTTTATTGCAAATCCTTTCAGTGAGGTAGACATGTTTGGAGTCTTCTTCATGGAGAGCTACAGCGGGCGGCTAAGTGCTGCCTCTGCTGTGTGAGTTGGAATCAGTCCTGCTGTTGTCATACGGCTGTTCATATACGCTCTGATCTGTGTACGAGTCTCTCAGGGGCCGGTCCGGCTCCGAGTCCGAGTCCGGAGCGGTGTAGGGGTTTTCATGGAGCGTCATCCCGTTGAGGGTCACCGGGGGAGGCATGAAACCTGGATAGAGGTCCTGCTGTGGTCTCCATGGAGCTTTTCCAAATGTGCCTGGTGGAGAAGAGCAGAGGCCTTATATTTATTTTTGTATTTAATCTTTAAATCAGACAAACAAAAAGGTCCATATAACACAAAAACAAATAGACAAAAGCAACACACAACCATATAATATACAGTGTGGAAAACAAATTAATAACAAAAATAATTCCTCAAATTTGAGATCAGAGATGAAGAATGATGATTATTTGTCCTGAAAACAATAAAACTAAATATGTTTTGAGTAACTGTGAGAAATGTATACAGTTATAGCAAGCCATTTACGTTTTAAGAACCAAGCAGTTTAATGATTTAATAGAATTAGATAACCATTCATGTGTTAACACATAATTGATTTTATTCGGCGACAGAATGCTCCTGATTGGTTAGTTGTTACGGCTCATATCTGATTCTACCAAAACAATATACCAATAATCAAACTAGAATTGACGAGAGTGCTAAGGCCAAAATGGTGAGAAAAACAAGGTATATTTGTATGCCAAATATAGTTTATACACAGGACAACTCAAAGTACTTAACAAAACAAGACGACAAGTGCGACACAAACAGTTTTGAGTTTCAAGGTATGTCCATAGGAGCCAGAGCGAGTAGGAGCAAAACTCCATCCATGAGCACTTCCCTATTGGGCTTCATTGAGATAGAAAATAGAAGAAAATGAGCTTGTAGCCAAAACTCAGCCACATTTTCTTTTGTTTTGAGAATTCTGTTTTTTGTACCTTGCCTCTTGACAAAATAAAGCAATTCTTGAAATAACACTAAATGGCTTTGTCCCATTGGTGAATCTTGTTTTAAGACAGTCAGAATGTGCTCAAATTAAGATAAAAACAACTTAATTCAAGAATGTATTACTTCATATTGTATCAGTTTTTACCCTGTGCACAGTGCATTTGATTCTTACCCATAAAGGTGCTATAGGGAGGGGGGCAATCTGTTCCATAATCATTTTCCTCTCCTTCGTCCACAGATAGATGGCGCTCACTGTGCTGCGGTGTTGTGTCGTGGTGGAAGCTGCCGTTGGGCACCAGCTTTGGCACCGAGGAGGAGCAAAGGTCGAAAGCATCAGCGAGTCTGTAGTCCCTTCGCTTGGAGCTGGGCAGACTGTCAGTCAACTCCACGCAAAGAGGCTTTTGATCAATTGAATAGCCTGCAAAGACAGCAAAAATGAATTAGCATGCAAAGATATAGAGTCTACGAAGATAACTTCAAGCTGCACCTAAAACATACTTGCGTAAACATCAGAGGGCTCGATGGGGTACAAGTTGTCCCGTCTCAACAGGGACCCGATAGGCCCTTGATAGTGGCAGAGCAGGGGGTCAATCACTGCTTCCAAATCTGTCTCACTTCCTGTGTCGAGCTGACAGAGGCCTAAACGTAGAACAGCACAAAGTTTGCATTGTATATTCCGAGTTTTATCAATGAATTTAAAACAAGCATGTCAAACTCAGGCTTGTGGGCCAAATCCGGGCCGCAAGACAATTTTTTAGTGGCCCCTAAAATGATTTTGATTATTGATTGATTGGTTTAAAAACGACAGTAGCTCAGTTGGTAAAGCATTGGCCTTCAGGCCTGAAGGTCGTGGGTGCATTTCCCACCTCTACACCTTCTCCACCGACTCCCACTGATGACTGCTGTCGTTGTGTCCTTGGGCAAGACACTTAACCCCACTTTGCCCAAAGCCCCCACTGAAAGATCAAGGCTATGCTCACACTCAGAGAGCAGCCGTCCTCCTGTGGACTCACCACCTGCAGAGGGTCAGTGAGGGGCTGGTGCTATGAGACTTGGGTGGCATCTCTGACTGCCACCCCCCTGACCCAGAAATGGATTAAAGGGTAGAAAATGGATGGATGGATGGATGATTTAAAAAGGATTGTTAACTAGAAACATTGATTGTAATGAGCTACCAAGGTAAGTCATACAGTTTTAGTGGAACGCTTTTGGGCCCCCAAAAATATTTTTTTTAATTTGACCCCTGACAAAAATGAGTTTGCGTGGTAATGGTAAAAGTATAATTTTACCATTCATGTCTTTGGATTGGAGATAGAAGCCGCTGTATTGATGACTGCTGCCGCTCTCTGATGGGATATACCCGTCCTGCCGATCAGCGAGGGTGCCCTGGGAGGAGAGGTAGCTAGGGATGTCTGCAGGCAGGTTGGTCTCGTCTGAGGAGGAGAATAAAGCACAGTTTTAGACTTAAAGAGTAAAAGTAAAAGTATCTTTTCAAATTGTGAAGAGTGAGAGACATTTTACAAATAGACCAGCAGCTGATTTGAAGTCCTTGACAGACAGCTGAGGCCCTTCACCATTGGTCTAACTATTCTTTTCCAGCAAATCTTACTGGTGATGCTTATGAGAGATTTATACTTTATATAGATGTACAGGTACGACAATTGAAAATCATTTTAGGGGCCACTTAAAAAAAATTCGGATTTGGCCCACGGGCCTGAGTTTGACATGCCTGCCCTAAAAGAACCACAGTCCAACGTTTGACCTGTACCTGTATTAGTGACGCTGCAGCTCTCGCTCCTTCTTCGCGTGTGATAGATGATGACCACCCAGACCAGCGAGGTGCCCACAACGCAGCACACCACCGCTATGATCACGATTCCCACAGTGGCCCAAGTGTCTTCATCTGAGCTGCCCACTCCCATGATGCCCACACCCACCCCGCCTTGGACCCCTGGATCACAGTTGGGGTTCGGCAACACAGACAAGCGCACGTTCCCTCTCTCGGTGCCGAGCGCGTTGGACATCTCACACGTGTATTTGCCCGCGTCGGCTTCAGCAGCGTCCACAATGATGAGGAGCTGGTTGGCGGCAGCAAAAAAGTGGCGCTCTGTGACCGTTAAGGGGCTGTCGTCTTTGGTCCAGTTGAGTTTGGGAGGAGGGCTGCCCCCAGCGATGCACTGCAGGACGGCGGTTTCACCTTTCACCACAGTGCGGTCCATGAGAGGCCTCAGGAAGGATGGCGTTTCTGTAGAAAGATAAATGCATGACGTGTAAACAAAGTACAAATGTATTTATTATCCCTCAGCTTATTTGCAAATTACGTGCAAACAAAGTGGGAATGTATTTTATGATCCTCATTTCATTTGCAAATGACAATAGACTCAGGAGGTGAAAGCACAAATATGGAAATTATGTGAGACAAATCACAACGACAACATTGCTCATTACTCATATTACATTGCTTTAAACCTTCAGTTGCGAAAGAAGTAATTGCTGAGTTCCTGAATCTAGGACAACACCACAACCCGTCATCCCACAAATCTTTCTCTGCATTTTTCTTATATACAGTAACAGTATATATATATTTTTTGTTCTGTTTTATTCCTCTCATAAAGTTTCAGGGCTACATCTTTTGTGATGTGTAAGTTGTTAATAATGAGGTGTATGGTCAGAGAGTTTTTGGGCCTGTGTTGTGTTGAATGAGTGAGAGGGGTTCAATCCAAATAAGCAAACAAAATCAATCTCTGTTCATTTATTTATTATCTTATATTATAGTTCCATTTGGTATGTCTTTAATATGATTTATTGTAAGTAATCCCCTCAATCAGGATAATTGTCTATAGTTATAAAACAAGAGAAACAAAAGACTGTAAAATAGGACTTACCGAGCACAGTCAGAGTGGCATTGGCAGAGATGGCTCCTGCTGTGTTCTGGGCAGTACAGCTGTAAACCCCAATGTCCTCCGTTTTGACATCAACAATGAAGAATACGTCATCCTCGGGCATCACGTGCATGCGGCGTTCACGAGCGGCTGGGAAGTCTGTGCCTCCGTCTTTCTGCCACGCGATCTGAGGCGAGGGGTGCCCCACCGCAGCACACTCCAGTCGCGCTGTGGCCCCGGCTCTTATACTCAGGTCCATGGGCATTTTAGTGAAGGAAGGAAGCACTGAGAAGGAAACCATGTATTAGTATTCAGAGAGGAGAAATGTGAAGGTCTCGACATTGGATCAGCATTTTGCAGAATGTATTCAAATATCTCAATTATAATAAAAGAATTCTGTACATAGTTGGTTATGACATTCATAGACATTTAATATTTAGAGCAGTCCAGGGCGAGAATACACAGTGCTAAGGGCAGTGCCATTGAAATGTGGAAAGTCATTATTTCCTTTTTTGTGCAAAGATTTCAGTTGTTTGATTCCGTCTTGGACTTGTGCTGTGTGTTTCTCTAATTGTTTTTGAAATATGAGAATAGGAGAGTTCGATCCTGACTGATCCTTTATACAAGTGAAATGATATAACAATCCAAAAATCTGGGGAACAAACAAACCAGACCCCCATGAAAATGTTGTGCAAATCAGACATGTATTTGAAAATATTGTCACTGTGTGAATGTCAACTACAGAGCAACTCCAAGAAAGTGCCAAAGAACTGCTACCAAGACAAATAACCCAGAAGAGAATATCAATAGCCTTTTACATGTCCCCCAGAATAAACAGCCACATGCTGGCCAACTGTAAGCCAAGCTTAAACGTACTGAATCACTTAATCACTTACTGTTGACAGTGAGCCTGGCCTTGGTGGAGTATGATGACCCAAAATGGTTGGAGATGACACACTGGTATTTGCCTTCAGTGGAAAAGTCAACATTGCGCAGCTGTAGTGTGGTGGTATACTCTGTCACCTCCGTGTCTCCCCCTGCTCCTCCCTGCACCCTGAGGTGGGCCTGGTTGTAGATTTCTACGTTGTTCAGAACCTCATTGTCTTTTTTCCAGGCAAAAGTCATGGGGGAGTCACTGGAGCTCGCAGCGGAGCAGACAAATGTTACGTTTCCACCTTTAAGAGCTGACTGCGTGTCTGGCTGAACTGTGATCTGAGGCTTCGGAAAGTCATCTGCAAGGAGAGAAGAAACATATTCAATTGATTAGATTAACATTTGTTTTAACTATTTTGTGGTGAACGTCTTTTCTAAAAAACTTGAGGTGACCGAGTCTTTTCTGTTGCTGCCCCCAAACTGTGGAATAGTCGACCTCTGTTCATTAGAGCAGCTCCTTCATTGGAGGTTTTTAAATCTATCTAGTCTGAACACACATTTTAACGTCTTGGCTTTTAACATCAACTGAGTTTTGTTTGTATGTACAGTATTTTATGCTATTTGCTTTTATTTTTTATCGTTTGCGCCTGTGAAGCAAGCACAGCTGGTGTTGTTGTAAATGTGCTTTACAAATAAAGCTGACATTGGTGCCATTTGTTAAGTGTCCGCATGAAAACATTGCCTATATTTAGCAAATGGTGCTTCCCTAAAGATTGTGAATGAGTCCAAACAGTTCTGGAGACAGGACTTAGACCAAACCTGCGCATATTTTGACTGAAAATGACCAACCTAGTAACTTTCCACAACATTTCCATCATGGATCTCATTGAAACATGCCAACACCAGGAAAATATTGAGCTATCTGGGTCAGTTAAGCAAAACGGAAAAGCAACTTACGTCTTCTTATGTGTATGTGTAGACAACATCACTCACCGCACACAAAGTCCTCTTGGCCGGCAGACAGCACGCTCCTGCCCTTCAGCATTTGCGGGTGGGCACAGCTGGCGTTGACGCAGGACAGGAAACTCTGCTCCACCACCCACACGGGGAACCACTTGAGCTGGCAGTCGCACAAGAGGCTGGAGGTGTTGAGACGCCTGGCAACGCATCACATACAGACAGACATCAGCCGCTACACAATGCACAGCTATGGAAGACAGCAATCCTTTACCATGTTTCGCCTATGTAATGTCTCTATAGGCTCATTTATGCGAGATGGAATAGTTATGGGAACTATGTGGGTGAAACATGGAACAGTTTAAAAAGGTAAAAAGTGAATTGATTTTAAATGCTGTAGAATAAAACAAATTAAATTATAATACAGTTGTAATATTTGTTTTTCAAAGTATCAGTAATGCATGTGTTCACAAGAAGTTAGTAATAAGATAAGAGAACCTTTATTCGTTCCACAGTGGGGACATTTTTAGCAGCATAGTGGCCAAGTGCCCAAGCCATGCCTCACAGTAAGAAGGTTGTGGGTCTGACCTAATGTCTTGCACATTATTATTATTATTATTTTTAGAAGTTGCTATTAATAGTAGTGAACATTCTTTCTGAAATTAAATCCCTCTGTTAACATTGTCAATGCACAGAAATCCTTTTAATATAACCAATTACACAAGTTGACAGCCAAAAAATGGTCAGGGGTTTCACAACTGATTTAGACTAATTTTGGTGTTCTGAGTCCGAATATCACATGGATTTAGCTCTATCAGGTCAACTTTTTGAGATACAACCATAGTGTTACGGATTACGTACGTCTACGTTATTATGAGTAAATAAAAATTGAATGACTTTGGATACGTAGACTTTTATTTCTTGAGAAAAACGGAAAAAAAGGTCAAGGGTTTCTCAGCTGATGATCCGCAGAAATTAGTTTTTTACGCAAAATCGATTTAAAAAAATATTTCTGTAGCAAAAAATCCTGACCTGATTGAGCAAAACCAAGGTCATTTTCGGACTCAGAGCATAAAAATTAGTCTAATTCAGCTGGAAAACCTTGGACTATTTTCAAAAAATATTTTTTTGTTACCCAGTGTTATACACATTAACTTGGCCAAATAAATGCTTTATATATATATATATATATATATATTAAATTGAATGTATTGAGCACATGAGATTTGGTGTGACTTTAGTTTTACCTGTAAACAACTGTTAAACAATGCTGTGTTCATAATGTACTGCGTCACATCCACTTCCATCCATACATTATAAAGGTCAGACTATGAATATGATAAAAATAATAATAGTAGTAATAATAATATTTATCTTTTGAAATGGATTGTACTATTAGCACGCAGCTGACCAATGCCTTTTTTCCTGTTTCCTATCAACTCTAACAAAACCAAATACTCACAGCTCCTGCAGGTTTTTCATTTGCGAAAAGGCATTTGCTTGGAGAGACATGATAGCGTTGTTGCTCAAATCCCTGTAGGACAGAAACAGAAAATATATAAGTTTATATTGTATCCATATATTTAAAAAACCTTCAATGCGAGTGACAAAATGGGCTTTAAGTAAGAAGCATAGTTTTAACTGCGCTGCATTAATCAAGGTTGTGCGAAATTTGCGCTGGAAAAAACTCTAATTAGAATCAAATGTTGTACACAGTGGTGATCAATACAGGCCCAAAAGTGGGTTCTTAATAGCAGCCTTTTGTCTTTCCACATCAAAGCCACGCAATGTGAGGAGACGGCTCAAACAAACAAGCTCTGTGTGACTCAGCCTGCTAAGTTTACAGCTCGGATTTTGGAAACAATCGCTGAAACATAAGGACATACTCACAGGTGCTGTAGAGCGTCCAGCCCAGAGAAAGACTTCTTGGTCACCGAACGGATTTGGTTTCCCTGCAGAAATCTGGGAGGAAAAATGCACACATTGTTATAGCTATTCAACGTATATGCTTCGAGAGCGTCGCAGGTCAGTGCTCCTGTGGGGTTCTGTGTGGGAAAGAGTTCGAATTTAGGGCTTTCTTTGATAATGATTGTAGCAGCTTTAAAGGAGTTATACCCGTTTCCGTGAGAGGAAGAGAACTAGCCTCGCGCAAAGTTTCTACTCCGCACTTTTTAGGGCCTGAAATCATACACAAGCTGAATCAATGAGCTCAAGTTTTCAATTAAATTACGGATTTTAATACAACTTGTATACGCATTTTCATGAACTCATTAGAAAATACAACCGGTATAGTTCCTTTAAGTTACTTTGAGAAGGCCTATTGAGCTTTTTACTAGTATTGTTAATAAACTTTATGACAGACACAAGGTCCAGATAAAAAAGACGTCACAGAAAAACCCATACAATTTATCCATCGTATACAATATATATATACACAATAGGTCTGGCATGCGCCTCCTGTACTGGTGACCCCGCTCCCATATCTGTGTGGAGTGAGAGGACAAGATGCCCAAAAAAAAAAAAACAATTGTAAACCGCTTTGTGACTCTGTCTGTGAAAGGCGGTATATAAATAAACATTACTTACCAAAATGATGGCTAAATATAGAGCTTAATCAATTATCATCTTGAGTAATCCACTTCTCTCCACTGTAAAATCAATAAAGTAATATCTTATCTTAATCTATACACTTTTTTTACATTGTTATACTACACTCATTCTTTTATTGTACATAATTACATCCTGTACAGACTATATTTGTATCCTTTGCCATGTTTTCACCCTTCGGTCTTTTGCACTGAGTGATTCCATCCAATGCTGTTTATCCTTCCTGGTCACACAACAAGCCAGCTATACAGTTCAATTCTGTGGAGACAAGATGGACTTACAGTTTCTTGAGCTTGTCCAGAGCAGAGAAGGGGCCGTTCATGTCCTCGATGGTCCAGGAGATTTCATTATTTTGAAGGTCCCTTTTGAAATAAACAAAGAGACCGCCTCGTTAAAATAAAAACACGCCCAGAAAACAACCATGCTAGCGATGTTAATAAAACTTAATACAGCTTTGCGTTGAGACGTTTAAAATTATATTCAAAGCGGCCCAGGGCTCAACAGGAAGTCCTCTCCAGCTTTTGCGGCAGGGCCTTTTTTGTCGACTAAAGCAGAAAAGGTTTTACAAGCCAGTACTTCAGGATTAACATGTGTGGTGCTGCATTTCAGGCTTCGTTCTACGGCGATAAATATACTCTGCGTGCGATTCAAATATGTTTGTGCGACTCGCTGCCACAGGTCTGCGTGAGGCATTAAAAACGTAATGACTTTTCAATCCTCGCTATATTAGGCGTGCTGTTCCTTCAAATAAAACAGGTACATCTATTTCTATTATCCTTCGCTTTTATTATCGCCAACAGCAGAACTGGTCAAAGTTTTGTAGATACTCGTATAAATATCGACTTGGGTAAAAGTATTGAAAGCATTCACATACTTAAAGCTGGGGAGCCTCATCTTTTTGGTTTCATAAATACATTTTCTACAGTCATGTGACGAAATCAGACCACAACATGCTGTCTTTATCTTACAAGAAAACATGTATCTTTCACATACTGAGAGCGGATTGGCTGGGCCTCTCTTTGTCCCTGGAAAAGCTGATCTAAAGACATGACAAAGGCCATAAATGCATGGATGTGAAAACTAGTGATAGAACCAAGTTATTTTTGTGAGGTACCCCAGCCTTAAGTATAAAACGTACTTAAAAAGGAAAATCTAAGCATTGCATTTCAAGATTAGCTTCAGACTTATCTTGAAATAAAAGTGCAGCTATTTTCATGTCCTGTCTGCAAAGTGAATAATAATTTTGAAATTTAAAGTTTGGTTTAAAAGTAAGTAAAAGTAAAAATGTATCTGAAGAAAAAGTTAAAGTACTAATACCAGAAAAAACACAGAACAGTACAATTCAATCAATTGCCTTCAATATATTAAAATGTTTTATCATGATCTTTATGCTTGATTTGGAGACAAATGCCTGTCATCATTACTATTCTATTCTATGATACCTCTAAACAACATAAGCTTCTTTCCAGACAACTTATCAGTCCCAAGGCTAAAAAAACCGCCCGATTCGTCTGGGAGCGAAACCTGGCGATTAATGTCGACAACTCCAAACTGCTGCATGGGAAGCAAAATATGAGACATTTTATTGGCCATCCGCAAGAGGAAAAACATACTAAACAACCAAACATGCAGACGCGGAGCACAAACATCGCCATGGCCAAGAATTTCACACAGAAATCATGTCCTTTGATCCCTCAGCTGGTCCAATGCCTTCAAATAGTAATTTCCCTCCACTGCATGTCTGGTTATGGCTGATTGGGACCGAGGAAGTGGGGCTGTAGTTTATGTGTTTGGGGGGTTGTGTTGGCGTTTCAAGCCCTGAAGCAATCCACCTAGCCTGCACACCTGCCCTGCGATGACCTCAGCCTTGCAACACACATTTGGTTCGAATTAGCGTCCCAAGATCTCTGGAGCCTGCTTGCTTGCTTGCTTGCTGTGGGAATGGGTGTGGGGACAGGGGGACCTTGCAAAGGAAAGTTAAGCGTGGAAAAGGGGTCCTGTTTGAAGAAATGGGGGGTGTTGAGGTTGGCGGGTTGTGCCTTGTGGAGTGTTTTTTTTTTTATGTGCGCTCTGAGACCTCAGCACAGTCATTTATTTCCCATCCTCAAAACAAATCAGGCAAAGAGATTTCCACTGAGCCGAGGGATTGATGGTGGAGGTGGCAGCGCCATACAAAGGCGTGGGAGGAGCTATGAAGTGCTCTGGTAGTAAATGTTTTCTATTGACTTGTTGTAGTTAATTTATGGTGCATGAGCTTTGCATTGTAGAGAGTAGACTCCATTTAGATGCATTGATTAGAGAAATGTCTTTGTTCAAGTTGATTTCGCTTGCAAACCGTAGCTGGATATGGAATCACTTCAAGCAAAATGTAGAGCCATAACACAGCTAAATATTGATGGCAAACTAATTACTGACCATATGCAAATGGCCTCTTTGCTCAATACATATTTTGTAAAATCAGTGGAAGAACTAGCAGCATCTTTCAAAGAGACATCTTCTAAATCGACAGAACCAAATGATAACCTAACTAACTCAATGGAAAACAAATTTTCTATTGTACAAACAAATGAGGCCAGTATTAAGAAAATAATATGCTGTCTTAAACCATCCAAAACCAAGGATGTGTTTGGATTAGACACCGACTTTGTCAGAAAGCATAAAGATTCTTTATCTGGACCCTTGACCCAGATGGTAAATCTGTCAGTCACTAGTGAGACATCCATCCATCCATCCATTTTCTACCCTTTAATCCATATCTGGGTCAGGGGGGTGGCAGTCAGAGATGCCACCCAAGTCTCATAGCACCAGCCCCTCACTGACCCTCTGCAGGTGGTGAGTCCACAGGAGGACGGCTGCTCTCTGAGTGTGAGCATAGCCTTGATCTTTCAGTGGGGGCTTTGGGCAAAGTGGGGTTAAGTGTCTTGCCCAAGGACACAACGACAGCAGTCATCAGTGGGAGTCGATGGAGAAGGTGCAGAGGTGGGAATTGAACCCACGACCTTCTGGCCTTAAGGCCAATGCTCTACCAACTGAGCTACTGTCGCCCACTAGTGAGACATTTCCACAGAAATTTAAACAAGGTCTCATCAGCCCAATTTTTAAAGCTGGAGATACTGACCAGGCATGTAATTATAGACCAATTTAAATTCTTCCCATTTTCTCAAAGGTACTAGAAAAAACAGTTTCAAATCAATTAACTGATTACCTTGAATGCAACAATATCTTTCATCCAAAGCAGTTTGGCTTTAGGACAAAACATTCAACAGAAATAGCTACCTGTTACTTCGTAGACAGTATGAAAAAAGAGCTGGACCGGGGTACTGTAATGTGGTTGGAGCAGTGTTCCTAGACCTTCGTAAGGCCTTCGATACTGTCGACCATCTTGTCCTTGTCCACAAACTAAAACAGCTAAATTTCTCACAGCAAGCTCTCAGCTGGTTTACATCATATTTGGAGTCCAGAATGCAACATGTAAAAATCGGCGACACAATATCTTCACCTCTGGAGTATAAAATGGGGGTACCACAAGGTTCCATCCTGGACCCCATCCTATTTTGTCTATACATCAATGACCTTCCATCAGTTTGCACTGAGACTGAGTGCCAGCTCTATGCTGATGACACTGTCATCTATGTCTCAGCAAAAAGTCCTCAAAGAGCGGCAGAGTTGCTGAACAAGCAACTGACCAGGGTCTCCCAGTGGCTGGAGGATAACCATCTGTCACTAAACTGCTCTAAAACGGTGTCGATGTGTTTCTCAATGAGGCAAAGGCCCCTAGACAACTTTCAAATACAAATCAATAATAAAACTATTGAAAGAGTAGAGGAGTTCAAGTATCTTGGAGTACTCATGGACTCTCATCTTAAATTTGGAGCTCATGTGAAAAAGATAACAAAGACTGTCAAGATCAACTTGAACTGTTTCCGTCTAATAAGATCAAAACTCTCAATCAGTGCAGCCAAGTTGTTCTTCCATTCAATGATCTTGTCCCATTTTTCATATTGCATCACTGTGTGGGGCCAAGCTAACCAGTCCACCATGAAAGGTTTGAACTCTCTGTACAAGCAAGCTCTGAAAGTGCTCGATAAAAAGCCCACTTTGTGGCACCATTGCAAAGTTCAGGAAAAATATAATCTTTTAAGTTTTGATAATTTTATAACATACTTTTTTATTAAACTAGTCTTTAAATGTGTAAACAACTTTGCTCCCAATATCGCTGCAGGAATGATTGAGAAATGTGTAGCTCACAGGACGACCACTAGGGGCGCTGCCAATAGAGACTGCAGAGCAACAAGATGTAAAACATCATTTGGACAGACTGCGTTCGCAGTGAAAGGGCCACAGCTTTGGAACACGTTACCTGCAGAACTGAAAGCCCTAACAGACTTGAAGGAGTTTAAAATCAAAGTCAAACTATGGCTCAAAAGGACCCAAACTTGTGAGCATAATGCAAGACTGTAATCATTTATTGTATTCTTTTTGTTTTGTTTTTTTTGTTTGTATTTTTTATTGTATTCTTGTTTATTATTTAGTATAACTTATTACTTATTTTTTTAATATAATGATGTATGTATAATGTAAATGTGATGTATTTCTAGGTTTTAGGGACCAGGTCTGCAAACTAGCTGTTAGCTATACGGCCTATGAACACAGCATCGGTTCCTGTAACAATGCTTCTTGTTCTGTCCCTATCAAATAAACAAATAATAATAATAATACGATAACAGCCAGGGTTGTACAAAGTTATCTAACTAAAAAGGGTCCTTTATTTTATATAAAATGTATATAGTAGATTTACATATTGATGTTTGCAACTTTAAGCCTTGTTTTGATGGCAGGGCAAACAAACCATATTTAATTGTGTGCGATCAAGAGGCGATTTGAATAACAATTTGAATAACAATGTCCAATTTAACAATAAAACAATTTGAATAACAACTTTGCTTGGAGAAGTCAAATTATATTGACTAAGCTAACTAACAACAATGGTCAAAAATGTAGACAAAAGTGCCTGTGCATGAGTGAATAAGGCAATGATATTGAACACACAGTGATGAGCAGAATCCTCATACATTCAATATTATATAGAGAAAAAGACCTCAGGGACGTCAATGCTGCTTACGGCCATGGGGTTTAGATAACAGACATATTGGTTGGTGCAGGTGTTTGAAAACAAGAATCATCCAGAAAATTCAGATATTTGAGACTCACAGCATCTGGAGACTGGAGAGGCCCTTGAAAGCACCGTCTGCGATGAAGCTCACTCGGTTGTTGCCGATGTGCAACTGGTCCAGTAAACTCAGGCCCACGAAACTGGATTCTTCAAGTCGAGACAGATGGTTGGATGACAGGTTTCTGCAAATACAAATCACATCTTTAAACTAAACTAAACTATATATTGGCCACCATCAGCATTCCTGTTTTTTTTTATAAGAGTTGGCTACCAATGGCATGACTCATATACACACTTTAGTACAGGTTCAGTGCTGGACCATCAAGCGCACCTGTATTTGAACCGCACCAGCTACATTTGAAGAGAAAGTACATGTAGGGCTCTCTTGAATGTTGTTAATGTAATGTAACACTCAACAACTGATGGGGCTAAACATCACTCTGGTGACTCATGAGGATCACAGCATTCTGGTAAATTCAATCTATCTTGACAATAATATTCCTACTGAAACTTGATGGAGTCAAAATAATGAGTCCTAAACACATAAAAACATGTCCTGTGTATTCCCCTGGACTTCCCTATAGGAGTTATCTCTGCTGTTCACATAAACACACAGAAAGGCATCAATGTGTGCTCTGTCATCAGCTCTGGAGATCAACACTGGATTTTATTATTATACGACATAGATATATAATAATACAAAACACATTTTTTCCACCAGTTTGTTCCAGAGTAGCATTGAGTCACAGGTAAGATCTATGGAGTATTTTTTTTCTAGCTTACACTCAAAACATTCTAAAATATAAAATATCTATGTTTTAGGACAAACTTTAGAGAGAGATATAGACATGTCCTACAAATGCTTATAGGAAAAAAAAAACAATACGTTTGTTCTGACATACTGACTGAATTTACGATTGTTTTGACTGATAAGAAACACAAAAATCTGGGTGATGGAAATGTGGAAAAGGAATGGGACAAGTGACCGCTGCTGCGAGCAACCACAGCAAAGGAAACCAAATCTGTTTCAGGAATGTGTCTATGGTGAAATCAGCAACATTTGTGGCTGCAGCTTTTGTGATGGAAAACTTGCCCTGATAGTAACATATAGAGAGAATTTGAAGAGATTTTCTTTTTTTCAAATGGCTCAGTTGGGCTCACTAAACTCCAAACTATGTGTATATTTGTAAAGATCGACCAATAGGGGTTTTGCGTGGCCGTAATTTCAAAGTTTGAAAGAATGAAAAGGGAGATTTTAAAGACAGGTTTACATAAAGGCAGATTTGTTATTTTTTAAAGCTTCAAATAAACATGGCTGCCACTAATAATTAGCAATTAGAACTAGAACATAACGCCAAGATGGATGTGTGAATAGACTTGTTTTATAGAAAAAAAGAAATAAATACAGTATATTATTTATGGAAATAATTATGTTTTTACCTCAGCGTTGCCATTTTTCTGTCTTTACTTATTTTTTTTGGATTTGAACACTCTTTTTTGGTTGGTAAAGCTCACTAAATTGAGTTCATACATGGATTAAAACAGAGCTGGACCAAGAGTACTGTAGATTGATTCGCAGAAGTTCCAATGCATAAATGAATACTTCAATATTTATTAATATTACATTTTGGAGTAATGTGGTCGTATCTTGAGGTATAACATGCCATGGTAGCAGATCGGTCAAAATGATTGCAGATATTTCAAAAACATAAATGGGTATTCTGAGCTCAAAGTAATTCAAACATATAGAGGTGAAAGTATATGTTGTATGTGATTACATAAAGAAACATATGCCAAGCTTTTGTTTGTTATAATTTGGATGATTATGGCTTACAGTCCATTTCCAAGTTGTTAGACATGATCAAAATTATTATATCTCACTTTGCGTGTGTAAAATGATTCCGCCATATATTACTTTCACATTGCACGTTGACTTACAGTAATTGGACTTTGGATTAATATTTTAATTTTCAGACTTTCACCAGAAAAGCAGTTTGAGACTAACTTAACTAAACCAAACTAAACCAATCTTAACGAGATAATAAAACTAAACAGGATTCCAAACTTTGCTTTGTTTTTAATGAGGGCTTTCATGTTGGCACAGCACGTTCTGCGCTGGAAAAACGCTCTGCTTTGTCCCGGTGTGTGCGAGAGTGAGAAAAGGCCATGGGGGTAGTGCCAGAGCGAGTCAGAAGGCGACGCACTAAAGTGTGGAGGGTGCACAGAGGGGATGGATGCCTGTGGGGGGATAATGAGAGGGGAGGGGGCTCAGAAGGTGGACTTACAGCTCGTTGAGTTTTTGGCAGAACTCCCAGGCGTCCGGTCGGATCCGGCTGACGGCGTTGTGGCTGAGGTGGAGCTGGTGCAGGGTCAGCAGCCCGTACAGCCAGCCTTTGCTCACCTCCGTCAGGTTGTTGTAATCCAACTGTCTGCAGGCACAAGCGAACATGTTGGAGGCAGATAGAGAATGCATATACTCAGATAACTAGTTAGGTTGATGCATTTCAAACCTGCAGAATACACTTACACATAGCTTTACACCAATACAGGTTCAAAAAGCGGTTGGATGAAGCAGATGATCATTTTTTCCCAACCCCCAATGACAAGTCTCGTATTGATTAATTTTGTATTCATACTTTAACTAGTGTTGTAATGATGCCAATATGATTTCATAACTAGAAAAAAAACCATAATGCCCTAATAATCCATATCACAATTACAATTATTTAGAAAATGCTCTTTTTTGGATAATAAACTAAAGTGTTTAACTCAAAGTAATAGTTTAAATTGTGCTTCATAGTTCAACTTTAGATATACAAATTTAAAACTTTGTCCCATTTATGTAATTTTATTTGGTATTGATTAGTTTGAATCAGTATCTAGTTTTAAAGCTAGAAAAATTATAATTGCTTGAGTACTTACAAAACTTCCATGTTGCTGAGGCCCCAAAAAGCTCCATCCATGAGGCGACTCAAGCCATTCCTCTGCATCTTGAGAGACCTCAGATTGTGAAGACCATGAAAAGTTAAACCTTCAACTCTACGAATGCGGTTTCTGCTCAGGTCTCTAGAGATGAAAAAAACAACACACATATCAGCATACTTTCAACCATCTTTCTGAAAGTCTATTTTTTGCAAATAAGAGGATCTCATACAGATGCTGGAGGTTGGCGAGCTGGAAGATTTTTGCAGGGATGGAGGACAGACGATTGCGGTTCAGGCGTAACACTTGCAGGCTGCTGGACAGGTTTGTGAAGCAGCCAGACTCCAGAGAAGAAATACGATTGTTGTTTAGAAACCTGGGGAGGCAAACATGTCATTGACACAATCAAGTAATGGTGCCTGTACACTTTTCTGATTAACATTAAATGTATGATTGTGAGTGTTGTGGTGTGACCACCAGTGACCCTTACAGGTTTTTGAGGAGCAGCGAAGGGAAGGAGTTGGCCTTTAAGTCCACAATGTTGTTGTTGCTGAGGTCCAGGGTTTCCAGAGCAGGAAAGGGCCTGAGCTGCTCCATAGAGATCTTGGAGATCTTGTTGTTTGCTCTGAAAATACAGACACATTGCTCCAATAAATGCCAAAAATACTGTGGATTTGACCAGCCGCTTACAGCAGCTTTATGTTCCCACATACACAAACAGTCAAGTCTTTTCAATTAGCCAGCGGTATTAAAAAATGACAATCCCTCACACACTCGACACTTGCCACCCAGAGTGTTCTGGCATGCGTCTCGCTGATGAATGCATTTTTCACGTCAGTCGACAAATTGTTCACAACGATCAACGGCACTGCTCTGACAACAGGTCCAAACAGCCTTTTTCTTCAGCGATGTGTTATTTTGTTTATAAGGTAATTACTAACAAGGTATTTAAAAAGTAACCTGCCAATTACTTGGCTGATGAATACCTTTCTCTCAGTGAAAGCATGCCTCAGCAGAGGCCGGCAATTTCCTGAGCTGCACGCCTCCTAAATTGCAGTGCAGGGACTGCTTAGTTATAAACAGAGTGGTACAGTGCCCCCTTTGTGCCGGAGACTGGCAGCAGAGAGCGAGAGAAGGGGGACAGGGGGTGAGGCAGGAATTCCCTCCATCACAGACTACAGGCTTCGTTTTCAGTATTCATCAATGTGTACACTCACATCAACTACACCTTAGTGCTCATAGAGCTGCTCATTTACCTCTTACAGCAACATAGGAACGTTGCAGACCCTTTTCCAGTATAATAATGTTTCTACCTGTAAGCAAAGTCTGGCTGCAGCGAGCAGGCTCTTGTCAGGTGCTGGCATAATGCTTTTATTTCCTTATCTGGTGTAAAACAAGTTGTTCCATCATATGTTTTCTCTGCATGACTACAGCTGGGCTGGTCTAATCTTAAGCTCAGGTTTTCTATTCATTTCCTGCACCTGAGCCTGGAGACATCATGGCACCATGGCACAGAGAAATGGAGATGTTTCACCTTTTCACAGGGCAAAGAGTGAGCACATAACTCTTATTTCAGCACATGTCTGTGTTCACAAAGTATGAAAATCCACCTGGACATAATTTACATATGACATTAAACACAGAATGATTTTTACTGCTAATAAGACCCGTGCGTGGTTGTGGCCATTGGCCTATGCACTCAAGTGGTAAAACTTGGTGCTGAGCCAAAGTCCAGGGGCTCACAGGGCACACCACGTATGGTACATGTACTTTGTGTTACATGTTACATAAAATGTAATTTAAATGATTTAAATGATTTTTGATCTAATAAATTAAAATAACAACAATGTCTCAGAATAGCTAACGGTTCATCCAATAGAACAGGAACTTCAGATTGAGAAGCATTATATCAAAACCTTAAAATGTTTCATTTCATGAGTTGACAATAGTGCTACAATAATAATAAAAAAATAGATTCTGGTTCCGACAATGAACATATTGCAATCTGAAATCCTGGCCTTTTTGTTAAGTGTAGTAAATAAAATATAATCAATTTACCAAACATGTACAGAAGTGAAGGCAAGTGGGATGATGTCCACTGTTTTCAAACGTCAATCAGTTTCTGGGGTATTTGTAGCTCTTGTTGTTTTAATCCCATATTCTTTTTTGTCAATTCCAGTAGCACAGGCAGCAATTGTTTGGAGATTTGCAGAGGGCTTTCCACGCACCAAAGCCCCCAGGCCCGGCACAAAAGCAGAGCACACCACCTGTATCTCAGTTTTCATGTTCCGCTGACTGTTCGCTGAGAGATGAGGGGCCGCGCACAAAACCAGTCTTTCCAGTTTGTCCCGGGGGGAACAGTGAGGCCTGGGATGTGGAGCACACTTCCTGCCCCAGGACACAGAGAGTGACCCTCTCTGTCTGGTCACTGGAGGCTATGGAATACTACCTTCTCTTTCAGGTGTAACCTGACTTAAGTCTTTTTCAGAGCAGTCTGTAGTGTAGCATTTTAGTAATTGGCTTGTTTATGTCATGAAAATGGTTGATTGTGGAATTTTGTTTTCTTTTTAAAGATAAAACAGTAATCTATCCACAGTTATGACCGAACATAACAAAGCACCCAACAGCTAGCCCTGCCTTTAATTCAGATCCCACTTATTACAAAATGTTTGTGTATGAAAAAAGTGATTTTAATTCAATATAAATGTTATATAATATTAAATCAATATTTTCATGTAGCCACAAGTATGAGTTTCTAATACAGGATCAGCTCAATTTCTCAAACTTTCCAAACCACGAGCAAGAATCAAGGCAGTAAAAGATCTGTATTTTTGGCCCCGAGTATGATCTGCATAACTTCAGCCACAGACTCAGGATCTGCTCTTTAATCCAACTCAAACGTTAATACACTCGTTCTTGCCATCAGTTCCATTTTGTCCACTCAGCGACTTGAAAAGACTTAAAAATCTCCTCAAATGGAACCTTTAAAATCTCCTAATAGTGTCTCACTTTAAACAGTTCATGTGTCTGGTATTTCCTATTGGAAAAAGAAGAAGGTTTGGAGAAGCCATATGATGACTGTGCGCTGCTGTGGCGCCGTAATGAAAACCAAACCAGGGCTGAGTTCACTGCACAGAACTTATTAAACGACACATATCTCCTTCACATTCAAGACTGATCAGCTTCACACGTCTGCTCCGCATCATGAAGAGAAACACAGATGGACTCTTTAGAGACTTTAGTGATGCATTTAACACAGTGATCTTGAGTTTTAGAGGAGATAGTGTTATACCCATGTGACATTACAAATATAAAACTGGGACTGAATTGATAAAAGGAGTTAAAAACAGATTCTTATAATATTACTCAATACATTTCTACTACAAGTTTGTTTGGGAGGGCAACATTCACAATTTTTGCTTCCAATGGAATCCAATCTTAAAGCTTGTGTACCTGACTTTTCAACACAGCTCAGTAGCATTAGTTTTCACATAATTGTATTTAATTACCTTCGGTCACATCTTTGGATCGGCTCTCAGACAGAAAATCTGATCAGCTCTCAGCTCAAAACAAATACATATGAGCTCTTTCTTGCAAGTATGCCAAATTTACAAATATATTCTAATAAAATGAAGCCTGTAAATGCTCTGATCTTTTCCATAACCAACTAAGTGTTGGGACAGAGGGAAAAACGTATTCTTTATGACATAAAAGTACCCCAGCTTTAAGGAACAACGTGTGTCATTTTGTATGCGCATACAAGTGCCTTTAATCTTTTATAGTCTGAGAATTACTTCTTGAGGTCGGCCAATCAAAGTAATCCGGAGTTTAGAGTCACAGATTACTGCTTCAACGGCCAGTTTGTAATTGTCTCGTACATCAAGGTTGCATTTCCGAGGCTCCCGGTCCTAAAGCCTAAAGTCGTCCTAATCAGGGCAGGAATCTCCAGGTCATTTGTCGCACCCCTTGAACATCGGCGCTTGGGATTTAGCTGGCGGCCGCCTTTACCCCCTTCATAAATTCCAGGGAAATTGTTCAATTAATTAAGATGATCACGACTCAATTACAACCAGCTGCGGAGTTAGAAGCGTTTGTTTTTACTCCGAGTTTCGAGGTCAGAAGAGTCGACGAGCGTTGCCGCCATGTCTGCCTGCCTGTTTGAATAAGTGCTATTTGATACTCCGCACTACTTTTTTTTGTTTTTGGCTTCTCTTACCCTCCCAGCCCAGAGAAACTGAAGGAGGCAGAGAAATAGTGGAAAACTGGAGGGAAAAATCCCACAGTGAGGGAAGAGGGCGGCTGCCAGCACGGCTCACTGCGACTGGAACATGTGTGGGGTTCTGTCTTCCAGACTGCGTTTCTTTTTTTTACTGCTGTTTTTACTACTACACACAGGCCATCTTCATCAGTCCACTACACTTTCATTTAATGAGCACTGTCTAGTCATTCATAAAAAGGTAAATAATGTATGTGGGGTGGGGGAGTTAATCAGTTTTTCTTCTACCTTCATTTCAAGCTGAAAATGTGTAATTCATTTAATTTATGTCTACTTGAATGAATAAATAAAGAAAATAATAATGAATGTATTGTATATTAAAACTATTTTTAAAAAAAACCTGGCCAAAACAACATTATCTGTGTGTTCTGCGTAGGGCTGGGTATCTTTTAGAGTTTACTGATGCGTACCTTCTTACGATAGGATACATATCTGGATAGAGGGCATTTTCACTTTGATGCGTTTCCAAGCAATATGATATTATTAAGTAAAAGTAAAAGAATTGGGACGTCATTGAATGCAAAATTTATTATTTTTCATTTTATCAAACCTAGAACAAAAAAGGTCTTACAGCCTCAAACTTCTGTTTTTTGTTTGTTTGACTATTACAAAACATTCCTAGAGAAAAAATAAGAAAAACTCTTTGAAGACATTTTTAAGACATTTTAAGATCAAAAATAATTTACTTAAAATGTACTTGTATTTCTTCTAGATATCAATATTTATCAAAGAAAAATGGTTCTTTAGTTGTTGTGCAAGTTCCACTGGGTGCACAAAATGATCAGACAGGACTGTGTTGGTCGTGGTCACACTAAACTGAAGCTCTTTTTATGAGCTCCATATTTCACAGCATTCCTGCATGTCAACATTTGGCTGCTTGACCCTTTTTTAAATTTCTGTTTTTCATCCTGTTTTCAATTGTATCTGTTCGGGAAGTTTATTCAAACAAATAGGTCAACTTTGGCTGAACCACACTCACTCAAAACTTGACATAAAATGCAGACAGTTGTGAAAACAAAAATGTTTTTTTTTCCCCCATTAGTTTATATCGAAGCCAATGTGATCCATAAGGTTCTCATTGTGTCTAAAACAATAACCAGGTATAGGCCTGTGTTTGAACCCACAATGCACAGGAAAATCTCTCATGATTTTAATACAGAGATTTCAAAATTGATCCATCGGTGCCAAACAAATCTACATAATTCTTTGCTTATGATGTGAACCTGCTTAACAGTTATGAGATGTATCATCCGTACAGTAAAAACAAGGTCTTGCATTGGAATGGCTGGATTTCTTATAGCTTGAAGACATAAAAACAAACCGTGAGAGGCTGACAGCTAAACGCCCCATGGCCACATCATGTCGAGGCTTGATGAGGAATAGGCTCCATTTAGTTTCAGTACATTCTTCCGCAATAGCTTCACGAAACGCGGTTTGGGATAGACAGAATAAATTGTTGCGGTTTCACACACTAATATCTGGTGCTTTGGGAGAATGCACCGATTGAGCAATTCTATTCCCAAACAACTTCTGGTTCAAGTTTTTAAAGCTGAAGCAGACATGGAAGTTAAAGAGAATGAAATGCACTCCTGTTTGCTATCATTATTATCATATACTGTATTTACTATGCTCTAAAACAGAATGATGTGTGTATCAGTATTCAATGCTCTGTCATTTCATGCAATGCTTAAACATGGTCACCTCAAAAGCCCTCGCTCCACCACAGATCAATTTTCCATTGTGCTTCTAGTTTTTCCTTCCAGCAAAAACACCTTCACAAGTTTAGAGAATTATTACCAAAAATCAATGAAAAAAATAAATAAAATAAGGGGGAAATAAACCATGTATGAATCGCTTGAATTGTTTGAATTATAACATTATTATTATAACATGGTCCTTTTTTCTTCGCTACTACCTATACCTTGCAATTAACCTACAGAAATGACTGAAGTAAAAACTAAATTGGCCAGAAAAAGAGCATGAGGAAGTATTTTTAGTGGTACCAGTACTTTACTTATTTTTCAACTTTTTACTTGTACTCCTCACTTTTAAACCAAACTTTCTACTCCTTACATCTACAATGATTGCAGATGGTGACACAACATGAAAACAGGTTTGAAGTGGTTAGCCCTGCTTCTAAGGGTATTCATTAATTGTGGTTAGCCGCGCTTCCATGTTCAGATAACCATTCAGCTTAAGTTTTACTAGTTTTTGTTGTTGTCATATTCTCTGTCAGCTCGAAACACTTCTACAACGGTATAATGTTAGTTTCAAAGGCAGTGCCCAAAAAGTCTCAAATAAATACATTTATCCGTCAATTACTGCGAGCATCAATTAGACCCGCCCCCACAGGTTCCTGATTGGACGCAATTAATCAAAATATTTAATAGACAACTGAAGCTCTTCACCGTTGGTCTGACTATTCTCCTCCGGCAATTCTTACTGGTGAGTTTCACATGGAAAAAACTTAATTGAAGTGATAACACAGTCATATGGTCGACATATGTATGTGCATCCTTAAAACAGGAACTATAATTGAAGTTGCAGATCACCTTTAAACAAAATGCATGTTACTTGTTTGCTCAATGTAAGTCCCTTTTAAATGTTTTTATACTTTGACTAAGGAAGGGGAATGATTGAATTTGTTTTACAGGAGTCGGTGTCTCACTTTTTGCAACTGGGGTTTTGAGTTGGTGCACACAGGGGTAGTCTTGCTCAAGTTTTCCAATGTGGTTTTACTGCAAATGGCAAACAAATTCTTGAATCTGACTGTGGTGATGATCCGGAAGATTTAAGGACATTCATAGACAATTATTAACATTTACGGCTATTGGTCATACTAGGGCTGGGCGATAAAACGATAACAATATATATCGCGATAGACATGTGTTCGATATCAATAGAGAATGGGGTCGATAGAATGTTCGATAGTTTAACTTAACTCCGTCAGGAAAAACAGGAAGAAAACACCGGAAGTGAAGCCGACTCATAAGCGCGCGGCATTGTGGGGGATGTAGGCAGAGGCTTCTCGACCAATAACAGCCGAGCAGGAACCGCAAAAACACCAACAACCGCACCATGCGTAGCGTCCATGGATCTATAGCTCGTGTTTCAATGCCGTGTCAATGGTTATGCACGTACGTGGGCGGAATAACATGTGCGGCGGCAGAGGCAGTGGACAGACACGATGTATTCGGCGAAAGCAAGAGATTAACTTTTTCCTCGGGAAGCATGTGCGGCACAGAGAGCCGCACGGAGCGGTCACAGGGACACAAGACCCTCGAAAACAGCTAAACCAGGAGCTAAACCAGGAATAAAAAACCAGGATTAAACCAGGACTAACAACGAGGGACAGTGTGAACATATTCCTCCAGCCTCATTCCCCCGTGACTGTAAACAAGGCTGCTAAGGTTGGTTAGCCCACACGACAAATGTATTTATTTAGGTAAAAAAAAAAAAAAAACTCAATATATATCGTTATCGACCGATATGAATGACTTATATCGTGATATAGTTTTCAGCCATATCGCCCAGCCCTAGGTCATACCGGTCCAGATATAGAAGTTTTATAGTAAAGTAGGTGTTTATACCAGCAACTAAACATGTTTACTTGAGTTCCTAAGACTCATGCTTTTGCCACCTCTACTGAGAACCAACAATTACAGCACGCTAGTCTGCCTGCCGCTTGACGAATACAACGAATTGTCTTATAATAAACTCCAAGCTACGTTATACACGATGTTTCTTCCTCCTCCGCAATCACCACTCCTCTTTCTCTTTAAAAATAGCCCATGTGCAGCGTCAGACACCAAACAAAACATTTCCATTTCTCATGATGGCATTTGTCTCCCAGTGTGTGAGTAAGTCTGGGGCAGCCGGCCATGTCTGGGAGAGTGCTTGGCCAAATGGACTTAGGGAAAAGGGGGAAGGGAGGACAAAAAAGCTCTTCTAACCACCAAACGACAGCTTTAAAACCAGTCAAAGTCTCCGAGGTGGCTTTACTTACACAATGAGCGTGGTGATGTTCTGAGCTGCAAGGCCCAAGTCAGGTATCGCCTCCAGTTCGTTGTGGTTCAGTTTTCTGGTGGAAAAGGAATACAAAAGTTTTAATATATGGCAGTTGCTGTTTTAGACCTGTAAGGCATCTTTACTTACTATTTGTATAGCGCTTTTCACGGACCAAGGTAACACAAAGCTGTATAAAATATTTTTTTTGGAGTAGCGGTATTTTTCTATTCACTCCACACACGGTGACAGAAGCGACACGCCGGACACGCAGGCGCATCGAAACTTCTGACCATCCTCAACCTGTCACTCATACATTGTGCATGTTTTAGTGGAAGGGGAAACAGGAGCACCCGGAGGAAACCTACACCTTGGTGCCTGCCCCAAAACATGTGATAATAATTTGCTATGATTTGATTAGAACTGTGCTTGTTGTAATGACTGGTAAAAAGGTTGTCAGTTGTGCTTCTTATACTTTAACTCTAACTGCATGACACTGTGGATATTATTTGAGATTTATTTTCTGTAACAAAATAAACATATATAATTTGCTCCTATTAATAAACCTTCAGATATTGTATGTGAAACAGACAAAAGGTGGTGCATTGAAGAGATAGAAGACTACAAAAATCAATATCAGACACTTAATAATTTTCAATAATGTTTAACTATTTTAGCACCTTAACTTCTCCATACACAGACTTTAACACATACACGTGTGGTGATATGTGATATCAAGATTCAAACCGTGTTCGAATTTTAGAAAAAGTGTAAATGTCACCCCATATGTCATACCAATATTCTAAAGTGTTTTTTCAACCAGTTTACAGTTGTACCTGAGATGTTTGGTGTGTCTTTGGAAATGATCCGTGCTTGATTCATTTTCTATACAATACTCTTTGATGGGAATGACTTTGATTTGTTAAGTATCAGTTTTGGCTGGCGGTGTGCCATGTGATTGAGCCTTGACACACTTTTTTGAATGGAGACCAAGAGCTTGGGAAATACTGTTCTAAACATCAATTTATCAAAAGGAACATCCATTTATCAAAAGAATAATCGCTATAGGATTCTATCAATCCAAATAATCGTCAGCTGGTGATGTCAAACTATATCTTCTGTATGCATACTGGTCATTTGTGCTTTGAAATATTGAGAGGAAATCAAAATGCATGACACTTTAAGCTGATGTAATATGATCGTGTAAAGAGTGACATCATTACAGAATGCATTGCCCTCTGCTTTTAAATAACCATTTTGCCCTTGAAAAGCATGTTCTGCGGCTTGTACAAAATTGAAGACAAATCAAAACATCTTGTGTGCCCATAATTGTACTTACATTTCAGTCAGATGTTGTAGTTTGGCAAACAAAGCATTGTCAAGCACCTGCAATTTGCTATGGCTCAGATCCCTGTGGAGAAAACACAAGCAGAGAAATGAGAGGAAAGTACATGTTGGGGAAGTATATTTCAGGTCTACACGGCAAACATAATTACGCTTTAATTCCCTGTGTTATTACGCATTAACACAGAAGCAGACGAGAAGTGGGTCTAATTATGAGCCACGGTTTGGAGACATGTGAAGATTAAACGGGCCGGTCAGGGAGCACACGATTTATGACTTAACTACTACGTAATGCAGCGTAGTGTCTCAAATGGTATCACCTACAGTCACCACCAAATGTGATAGTCTGTAATTTAGCCAAGTTCCCAGATTTTAGGATTGAAGATTGACAAAGAGCTGCATAAGTTGGATCCTTTTGAAGAAAATGTTCACAACTTCAGGAGGCTTTGCTCTAAATGCCTCAAGTTGACTGATAATTAGGGCTTGGCGATCTGGAGAAAGAACACCCAACATTATTCACCCAATCTAGATTTTTTTCAAATACTAAACCAAGCCACATTACTGGCATAATATTTAAGACATCTGAGAGAATGTGGTATAAACTCATCCAAATGAGTGAGCGAATCTTTTCAGCCCCTCACACTGTTACTGCCACATAGTCGGGGGTCGGTCCATTTTAGTTAAATAATGGAGCAGGGCTTAGAAGATTGTATCTACCTTCCTGTTTCTTGTGTTAATGGTGACAATGTTGTTGTGTGTTGTTGTGTTAAAAGAGAAAAAGCATTCTATGTAGAACTGGCATGGAAAAATGAATACAAAATGTAATCCAAAGTATAAAAAATCATGATTTTAGCTCCAGTGAAAAGTGTCCAAACTGAACTAAACAGAAAGAAAACCAAGCAGTGTACCAAGGGTGTTTTGAATAAAGGGCCAGATCTCCAAAGCAATGAGACAACAGGTGATAAGCTCTGGGTCCATGGTGTAAGCAGAGAACGGGGGAGCGATGACACTGTTCTGAGTAGGAGCTGACTACGTACAGCAGAATGGTATTCAGACTTTCTTGAAACAGTTCACCGCAACTTGTTGCTATGTCTGACGATGTATTTTAATGAGACCCTAGTATTGCACAACTCAGTACATTTGTACATCAGAAACTTCTTGATCACTACTTCTATGGAGGCAGGTTCACCCAATCACAACAAGGCATTTACGTAGAAAAACCGAAATGGTGAGACTTTTCTTTGACCCAAATTAATCATGATTAAATTATAGGGGAAAACAAAACTCAAACTCAAACAATGCATGTACCTATTGTGAACTTCAGCAAGGATTTTTTTAAAACTTATGTCAACTGCTTCTGAGTAATACATTTTTATTTGATGTTATGTATTCAAGATTGCTTTTTATGCTGACAATAAATATAAAACAAATGAATACAAAAAACACGTCTTAACATGTCTTATTTGAGGTGCTCATAATTCCTCCTCTCACGTTGGTCCAGACTCTGCACTGTGCTGTCTTTAGTGGAAGCTGGAGGAGTCTGGAGAGCAGAGCACCGTGAGCCATAAAAGAGGCTGGAGTTATTGACGCAGTTGCGCACGATCAACGCTGTGGTGCCAGACGCTCTTTTACACCCCCCCTGCCCCCCTCGCTCATCTGGAAGCCATCAGGACGTCCCGGGAGGGAAAGGAGGGGAAGGCCCGACTAATGTATTCGCAATGCTGGGGAAAACAGAGCCTTTCGAACGTCTACAACACCCTTGTCACATTTTCTATTGCCTGCGTCTGGTCTTTGGTGGAAAGTTGAATACTTTTTCAGGTGTCATAGTCAAAACAGTGTCATTAGGAACAGGTTATTTTGCTGCTCTAATTCTAAATACCATGTGTTCATTATCACAAAGGCTTTAGAAGTGTGCTTTGTGTCCATAATATAGATATAAGTCATAAGTAACTAAGATCCATGTTTAGAATGGATACGTATGTTGTTATGGATTCTTATATTACGATGCTACTGATTGGGAAACAGAAATACAGAAGGGAAGAGCAATGTTTTGTCAGTTGCTCAGTTTGTCATATTCCCATTCAAAAAGGAGTAGACAATCTCTGTAACCAAACAAGTATTAATCAGTACTACTCCTTGCTTGTTTTAGTTACTTGGTGGATGTGGAGGTAACTTTGCAACTAAAGCCTATAGTAAGCAATGTTGGGCTTTTGTTATTGTTGTAGACCTGGAGAAGGTGGGGGCATATGGGATGGTGTCCTATCATACAGCCCTGATAAAAGCTGAGTAGCTCTGACACTTCCACTTCCAGCACAAAGCATCCAGATAACTGTGTGCAGAGAGCAAGCCGAGGCCTGCATCAGCGAAAACTCACCACCACCACACTGTTTTATCAGCCACTGAAAGGCCAAATACCCTAGACACTACCAAAATCACTGGAGCTGTCATTACCATTCAGATAAAGTTACTTTGTTTTGGCTCTAGGTTTATATAGTTGTAAAATAGCTGCAGTATATTCAAAATGCTGCAGCTTGAGTCCTGACTAGAAGCAGGATGTTCTCTCACATTAGTCCTGTGCTCAGGTCTCTGCACTGGCTTTCTGTGGCTCAAAGAATAGACTTTAAGAGAGACTGCGAAGAGCACAGGGACTGGCTTCCAGCTGCCATTCTGAGGATGACAGGGACTGGTCTCCTGCTGGTGCCCAGGGTCAGGAGGACTACCCATGGGGAGACAGCATTTCAGATTCATGTAGCTGAAAATGTAAGACAGGCCTCTACTCTGACAATGTTCCAACACAGGTTAAAGAAAAACACTTCTGTATACAATTATAATATAATAATCATGGATAAACCACCAACAAAAAACAAACTTATACTATGTAAAATCCTTTTACTTGCCTATCTTTCGTCAACTTTTAAAAGACTTTCCGGCCATGTGGGACTTCTAATAGCCCAAATGCATCAAGGTCTAGCTTTTAAACTTTTTGGCAGTAAACTCCATATGTCGGCCTCACCTCCCCCAATACTTTCTCCTCACTTTGTTCGAGCCTAATCCTTCTCGCTCCTTATTAACAAGGACCGTCGCTGGCTCAGGGCTTTGCTAATTCAGCAGAAATAATGGGGTGCTGCAAAACAAAGGGTTGGCGGGCTAAGGGCTTTAAGATGTGCTGGAGAGCCACTCGTAAATTAGCACGCCAGAGTGCAAAGCATTTTCCCCCCATGTGGAACTTTTTTTTCATTTTGTTGGAAGGCTGTCCTTGGTGGACGGCTCAGGCTGGGTTTTGTTTGCTCTGGCAACACCAACTTTCCACTGCAGCTCCTTTCAGCGCATAGAGGAAAACTTACCAATATGGAGCCATTGCAAGTAGAGGTGTACCAGGCCTGAATGTGGACAATAAAATCAACTTGAGCGATAAATGAGCTGTAGGAATAAATATCTTCAAAGTCGAAGACATGGAGGAATGTTGTGAAAGTTGTGATGCGGCCCTCAGAGGCAATCGACTTAAAAGACTTGTGAAAAATGGGTCCAGTGATTTATGTCGTTCCAGCTATGAAGGTTCCAGTTCAATCAAAGCTCCACCAACGCCGAGGAATTTCACCCCCTCGGCTCAACACAACGTAAACAACCACAAATCTTTGACAGCGCAGCAATAATACCCAAATAATTCAAACTACAAAGACATACCACTTACACGGCTTTAGCATTTATATCGGGGCAGGTTGGTGGATTAACTAGAGACTACACGACAAAAGCATGGCGATCGCTCAATAAGTACGCCATTGTTACCGTAAGGATCCATCACCCAAACAACAATCATTTTGAAGGATCCAACTGTCTGAGGAGAGATCCATCTGCATTTTACAACAAAAAGAGCATTTAGGATAATCCCAAGAAACAAGAGAGCTCTGATTATTGCCAATTATGTTGTTGTGAATACATTGTGGGTGAATTGGACAAAGTATTCACTCGTAATACACAAGCATGTAATTTCGTTTGGATTGTTTGCCAGTATTAAGTGGTTTTGGTTGAAATGTAAATGCGGAATAGGGCTGTTTTAGTGTCTCCCTTTTCTCTAGATGTTACTGAAGGAATGCATTGATAACCCATATATCATTAAGGATTACTAAAGTTTAACGGGAAAGAGTTGAGAAGGATGTGGATATGGTTTTGGGAGTAAATGACTGATGTGACACATAACTGTAAAGGTGAATCAGAAAAAAGAATATGCATGAGTAAATACAATACCCTGTCTGTTTTAGATAAGCTTCCCTGATTAAGGTTGTGGCAAATAACTTTCAAATCACAAAACATTAAAAAACTAATACAATCCATGTAACTAGTTCTAGGCTCTAAACAAGTTTGGTTCCATCACTTTTCTGACACAATTTGTATCAGAAAAGTGATAAAAAGAGGACCCACCATCACTCAGCCAATCAGCTCTCATCCCAAAAAGTCTAATAGTGACTGGGCTCTTTAAGTAATGCAAAAGATACAATGTTTTCTGATATGATAATGACAGTAAGTTTACTCTAATGTGTTGAGAGAAACAACATGTATTATTTATGAAAAAAGAAAGTGAAGTCCCCCAGCTTTAATAGTATTGATGTATTCTATAATAAGGCTGCCAGGACTCCCTCGAGTGCTTTTCACTCTCAGCGCTAAACTTTTATAGGGCATACACCAAATAGACCACAACAGGAATGCAGCTCATCCCATCCCATAATCGTAAAAAAAAAAAAAGAAAACAAAGAAAAAAGAAATCTTGCAATAAATCTGGAGATATGAGCGCTTACTACCTGCTGTTTCCTACACAATGGAAGAACACAATTGATGAGTGACTTTACTTACAGCTGAACGGTCCATTCTGGGATGAATCCTGGCATTTGGCCCCTTTTGAGGCGACTGCAGTCCACTAGGTCCCCGGAACAGGCACAGAGTGGGGGACACGTTCTGGTGGAAGCCTCACATTGCAGATGTAGACCCCAAAACACAGAGAAAAACACGCAAAGTTTGGCTACCACAAGGCGAGGCTGCCCGGAGGAGCGCATTCTGGACGCACAACACGACAGGCGCTCCGAGGAGTAGTTGGATGTTGAAGCGAAGCGTATCCAAAGAGAAATCAAACTCAACTCCTGAAAAGATGCAGGTAGAAGCTTTGGTTGGTGTTAAATCCAATGCGGGGTGGTGGGAATGATCGGCGGGAACATGAGAGAGAGGAGAGCGAGCGTCGAAAACTTTCCCATTCCGAAGAAACTCTGCGTGCGCCTCTGTGCCTCTGCTGCGGGGAGCTTGTGTGGAGCAGAACCCCACAGCGTGAGCGACAGGCAGAGGTATGCGGGGGAGGGGCCCGAGTGCACTCTGGGAAATGTAGTCTATGGGCATTCTACAAAGTTTCTCGTTTAACTTCTTTTCGAGAAATAGAAACACAAAAAAATGACTTTAGATTTACGCCAAGGTCTCCGTAGTTTTCTAACTCGAACGTATGTTTACTGCTCATCTTTTGAGTCTGGTGTATCGCAGAATGATTGGCGATGACAGGGGCTGCTGGCACAGATTAGTTTAAGATAAGATAAGATAACCTTCATTCGTTCCTCAGTGAGGAAATTTCAGTATCGTCAGCATTGCTCACATTGCTGGAAAAATACAGGCGTAATAAGAGTATAATGAGAAAGAACTATGTAAACATCACACAAGATCTTTTATTTAGGTTTAGGGTAATAGATAATGTATAGATGATATACATATCCTAAACTCTCAAGCTAGAATTGCACTTGGTTCAAAGATGAGTACACTTGTGGAGTATACACTGTAGTCATTAGTCAGGAAGGTAGATGTACAGGTGGTTAATAATGTACTTTAGCAGCAAAGAATATGACCAGAATAAATCCTAATCTCTTCTACTGCACAGAGTAAACTATGCTATTAAAGGAAATAAATAGTTGGCTTGATCAGTAGATCCCAAATTAGGGATAGGGCATGGGGTCACAAGACAAGATGATATCCAGAATATGTTTTTTGGAATTTTGACCGTAAATCTATTTTTTATACAAACATTATGTTTTAACAACAGTTGGTATGGTTTTAACTTTACCATTAACACATTGTAAGGCCATTTTCAGCCTGTCCCGGCCTGAACAATTTAGGAACCCCTGAGTTAGAAGAAAAAAAGAAATTTAGAATTACTTTTGTTTGAAATTCTTAACAACAACAAATTTACTACAACAAGATGGACAAACCATTTGTATTGCAGATATTCGTGAACATAACACTGGTTTTGTCCCATAAATGAAGTGTTAAGTCGAGTCCTATCTGCTTCCATCAGTGACAGATATGACACAGTGCCCCTCACCAGTATGTTAATGTGTTGAGAGGATGTTTTCTAAAGCCTGTGATAATGCAGTGATAGTGATAAGCAGCTGCCATTGTTCTGAGCCCACTGTCTATGCTTTATCACCTCAGGCAGTCTGAAGGTGTGGGACTGGCCTTTGCTCATTCAGCAGTTTTACAAGACAAATGGAACAAGTGGGGAAGGGAAACATGCCATTTTTTTGAAATTCTTAACAACAACAAATTTACTACAACAAGATGGACAAACCATTTGTATTGCAGATATTCGTGAACATAACACATGTTTTGTCCCATAAATGAAGTGTTAAGTCGAGTCCTATCTGCTTCCATCAGTGACAGATATGACACAGTGCCCCTCACCAGTATGTTAATGTGTTGAGAGGATGTTTTCTAAAGCCTGTGATAATGCAGTGATAGTGATAAGCAGCTGCCATTGTTCTGAGCCCACTGTCTATGCTTTATCACCTCAGGCAGTCTGAAGGTGTGGGACTGGCCTTTGCTCATTCAGCAGTTTTACAAGACAAATGGAACAAGTGGGGAAGGGAAACATGCCATTTTTTATCTCAAGTAGATCACCTTTTCCTCATAAATGTATATTGTGACTTTATTTTATATTCTTAATTATCATCACATTATATCATACACATTGTGTCTTACATTTATTTAAAAAATATTATGTTTGTTTAGATTTACGCCAAGGTCTCCGTAGTTTTCTAACTCGAACGTATGTTTACTGCTCATCTTTTGAGTCTGGTGTATCGCAGAATGATTGGCGATGACAGGGGCTGCTGGCACAGATTAGTTTAAGATAAGATAAGATAACCTTCATTCATATCCTAAACTCCTCAAGCTAGGAATTGCACTTGGTTCAAAGATGAAGTACACTTGTGGAGTATAACACTGTAGTCATTAGTTTCAGGAAGGTAGATGTACAGGTGTTAATAAATGTACTTTACGCAGCAAAGAATATGACCAGAATAAATCCTAATTCTCTTCTACTGCACAGAGTAAACAATGCTCACTATTTAAAGGAAATAAATAAGATGGCTTGATCAGTAGATCCCAAATTAGGGATAGGGCATGGGGTCACAAGACAAGATTGATATCCAGAATAAGTTTTTTGGAATTTCGACCGTAAAATTCTATTTTTTATATACAAACATTATGTTTTAACAACAGTTTGGTATGGTTTTTAACTTTACCATTAACACATTGTAAGGCCATTATTCAGCCTGTCCCGGCCTTAAACAATTTAGGAACCCCCTGAGTTAGAAGAAAAAAAGAAATTTAGAAATTACTATTTGTTGAAAATTCTTACCAACAACAAATGTTACTAAAACAAGAAGGCAAACCATCTTTGTATTGCAGATATACGTGAACATGAACACTGGTTATCGTCCATGAATGAAGTGTAAAGTCGAGACCTATCTGCTTCCATCAGAGACAGATATGACACAGAGCCCCTCACCAGTATGTTAATGTGTTGTAGAGGATGTATTCTAAAGCCTGTGAAAATGCATGAAAGTGATAATCAGCTGCCACTATGTTCTGACCCACTAGTCTATGCTTAACACCTCAGGCAGTCCCCTGAAGGTGGGACTGCCTTGCTCATTCATCAGAGCAGATTTTACAAGACAAATTAACAAGTGGGGAAGGAAACATGCCATTTTATCTCAGTAGATCACCTTTTCCTCATATATGTATATAGTGACTTTTATTTTATATTCTTAATTATCATCACATTATATCATACACATTGTGTCTTACATTTATTTAAAAAATATTATGTTTGTTGGTGAAAAAAACTCTAATTCACTAAGAACACAGTAATCCATGGCATTGAGTAGCATGTCCTGTAATTATAGCTTCTCAATACTTTGCATTGGACTACATTATGCCAGCAGTGGACCCCTAGCAGACCTGTCTATACTAATCTGTTAAGTATAACATTATAATAATTGTGTGTGTTTTTTTTTTTTAAATGGATCAAATTAAAACAAACCAATAGCAGCATTCAGTTTCTGAACCACAGAATGACCAAAACTGCCGTGTAGCAACCAGTCATTCAGGTCTGCGTATTAAATGATGAATGTTTGCAGATCTATCTATAATGCAAGGAATCCCTGTCTATGGGTTTTTGTGTGTGTCTGTGACATGCATACCTCAATGACAGATTGTCCGATTGCCTTAAATTTAGTACACAGCTTATAAATGGGCCCAGAATGTACATCCTTTATGTTTGGAATAAGCAAAGCAAAGATGTCAGCCTGTCTTATGGTCATGATTGGACAACAACTGCTCCAACTTGTCAGCGCAACCAAAGCTTTCAGATGTTTTTTTTTAAAATTCATTTTCAAAGCTATTATTTTGAAGTTGTAATAAACTCGCATTCACTGCACTCGTTTACTAGTCAGGTCAGGATGGGCAAAGCATTCTGATCAAGTAACAATGAGACTTTTCTTGCAAGCTTCAAAACAGAAACCCCAAACCCTGTCAGTCTTATCCTCTTATTGAAAGAACCTAAAGGCTTTTCTGTCTCTTTTGACGCTGTAAATATTGTGTCAAAAGATTATAATATCTGACTCTAGCAAACGTCAGCATGGTCCTACTTTCTATTCATTAAGCTTCAAAACAGCAACATCTTATGCACCTAATGGACTCAGCTGATCTTTACTCACAAGAGTTTTTCCAGACTTCTCTCTGCTGACTTTCTCTGTGGGACCAGACTAACAAAAACACCAACATTAACAGGGATCTGAGAAAGACGTGACTTAGCTCTGGCGTGAGTTGTTAGCACTGATTGATTTGATCCTCGCCCTATTGGAAAAAGAGGAGGGGTCCCACAGTGATGGCATGATTGCTTCCTGATGTTGACTCTAATCTACGTGCTCTAAAATCATTTTCCTTTTCTACTGGGTACATTTGTTGGATTTTCTGTCCAGAGATCTGAGAAGAAGTTATGGAAGAGCCAAGCTGAAGCAAACTGAGGCACTAACTGAATAAACTGCATTGGAGTTTAAACAGGGAGTTCTTATGTAGTAGCAGTGTTTTGTGGAACTACACTATAGACCAAGTCAAGTGCGTATTTTAGAGATGTTTTGTTTTGTTTTCCCATATGTTTTTTCAATTTAATAAAATATATAGAAAAACAACACAAAAAAGCTCTAAAGCAGGGGTGTCAAACTCATTTTGGTCAGGGGGCCAAATAAAAAAAAACAGAAACTGGTCGGGGGCCGAAATAATAGAATCAATGTCCTTTTCTTTTTCAAATCATGAAGGTATTTTATGACTTTAATGTAACACAAGTTTCACAATTATTTTCTGGTTGATTTTTTTTGTATTGTTTGGATTGAACCAAAACTGGACCAAATACACTTAAACAAACTGTTTTCTTTTTAACTATTTTTAACCATTTCACTTCTAATAATTGGTTGGGTTAATTTTTTAGAATAAATGAAAGGTGGTTGTTTTCCTTAGCGAATACAATAGAATACAATACAATACAATTTATTCTTGTATAGCCCTAAATCACAACAGAAGTCATCTCAGAGGACTTAACAAAACCATTGAAATCACCAACACAGGTAGGAGAATCAACAGTTAAAACACAGAAAGAATATAGAACACATGTTGATAAAGGTCCATACATGTTGTAGAATGTTAAAGTGTCCTGGATCATCACCACAGTCCTTTTTGTTGGACACTAACTGTCCAACAGACCCTACTGGATCTACCCCCACAAGCCTGAGTTTGACAGGTCTACTCTAAAGTCACAAACACATAATGTATTTGGTAACGATTGGGACATTTTGGCCATGACATTTTCGTCAAATCCACTGCATAATCTACCATCAACACCTCACATTTTGGTGTTTTACTACAACCTTATTATTAGGCACTATTGTTAAAACAGATGTCAATGGCTCAAGTGTATATATTTATGGAAATGTAAGGATCTTTTAGTACATCTGTCAGCAAATGGAGGCCCTTTAAATGGTCCTTCACATCTGGCCTCCTCTCCCAGCTCTCTCGCT